TAGTTCTTTTCGATTGTCCATCTGTTTGAGGATGATAGGCGGTGCTATAATCCARAYRCRTACCCAATGCCTTTTGAAGAGTCTGCCAAAATCTTGATGTAAAACGTGTATCTCTATCCGAAATAATGGAAATAGGCACACCATGACATGTTACTATTTCATCGATGTAGATTTGTGCAAGCCTTTCCATACTGAAGTCTTCTCGAATCGGTAAAAAGTGCGCGGATTTCGTAAGCCAATCAACTATGACCCAAATTGAGTCATGTCCTTTCCTAGTCCTAGGTAACTTAGTAACGAAGTCCATTGATATCTGRTCCCACTTCCATTGGGGAATCTCTGGTTGCTGAAGGAGACCAGACGGTTTCTGATGCTCTGCTTTTACCCTTGCGCATGTTAAGCATCGACTTACGTACAAAGCAATATCCTTCTTCATTCCTGGCCACCAGTAATATTCTTTTAGCTCYTGGTACATCTTATCAGTTCCTGGGTGGATTGAGTATCTTGAGCGATGTGCTTCCTCCAAAATTGTTGACCGAAGTTTGTCGTCCTTTGGTATCCAAACTCTATCTTTAAAGTAACGTACCCCATCTGCTCGGGTTTCGAATTTCTTTTCTAAGTGATACAGGGTCTCGTTCTTCAGATTCTCTGTTTTCAACGCCTCTACTTGAGCTTCACGAATTTGTGTTTTTTGGTTCGTTTGAATTATTATCCCCATCGCTCGTACTCTTGACGGTTTTATTCTTTCTTTTCGACTTAGAGCGTTTGCTACCACGTTAGCTTTCCCTGTATGGTATTTTATTTCACGGTCATAATCGTTGAGAAGTTCGACCCATCTCTGTTGCCTCATGTTCATCATCTTTTGGTTTAGAATATGTTGAAGGCTTTTGTGATAAGTGAAGACAGTGCATTTGGTGCCGTAGAGATAATGTCTCCAAATCTTGAGTGCAAACACCACTGCTCCTAGCTCCAAGTCATGAGGTGTGGAGTTCTTTTCATGAACCTTGAGTTGCCTTGATGCATAAGCAATGACCTTGTCATTTTGTATCAGCACACATCCCAAGCCTTGGTGTGATGGATCACAATATACCACAAAATTCTCCGTGCCTTCTGATAGTGCTAAGATCGGTGTATGACATAGCTTATGTTTGAGCAATTGGAATGCTTCTTCTTGCGTTAGTTAACCCAAATGGCATGACTAAAAATTCATAATGACCATAACGAATTCTGAACGCCGTCTTAGGAATATCTTCCTCATGGACCCTCATTTGATGGTATCCGGATCGAAGATCGATCTTTGAAAAGTAAGTGGCACCTTGAAGTTGATCGAACAAGTCGTCGATTCGGGGAAGAGGATATCGGTTCTTAATGGTCAGCTTATTGAGTTCCCTATAATCGATGCACATCCGAAGGGATCCRTCTTTCTTTTTAACAAATAGAACTGGAGCTCCCCAGGGTGAAGAGCTGGGTCTGATGAATCCTTTGTCGAGTAGCTCCTTTAGTTGGTCTGACAATTCTTTCATTTCCGATGGTGCTAAACGATAAGGTGATTTGGCTACAAGTGCTGCTCCAGGAATTAAGTCAATGTGAAATTCGACTTACCGTAACGAGGGTAATCCTGGTAGCTCATCAGGAAACACCTCGGGAAAATCCTGAACTATGGGAAAATCCTGGATGCGTTTCTCTTTAATTCCTTTATCCATAATGTGAGCCATAAACGCGACATATTCCTTTTTCAAGTATTTTCGCATCTTCATACATGTTACTAACTTGAAATTTCTCTGGGACTTTTCTCCGTGCACCACGAGCGTTTCACTTCCTTTCAAAATTCGAATGGTCTTCTCAGAACAACATATCTCGGCTTGATTTTTGGATAGCCAATCCATACCCACAACTACATCGAAGCTTCCTAATCTAATTGGAATAAGGTCTATGATAAAGTTTTGTTCAGCTAAACGTAATGTACCATTTGTGATTACGTCTTTCGTCCTAACTTCCTGACCATTAGCAAACTCGATAACGAAATCTTCTTTCAGCTTTTGCGATTTTAAACCAATCTTTGGTCTAAATTCTAGGGATACAAARCTCCTATCTGCTCCARAATCAAATAGTATGGATGCRTAATGATTATTCAGAAGAAATGTACCTGTGACCACATTCGAGTCTTGCCTGGCTTCTTCCACCCCAATTGCAAATGCTCGACCTCGTGCTTGGCCTCCTTGATTTCCTTGGTTGACTGGTCGTGCTGGATTAGTATCTGACCCTCGGTTCAATTTTAGGCATGCATTCTAGAAATGATTCGGGCTTCCGCACTCATGGCATGTTCGATTCTCTCCGATCTTGCAATCTTTAGCGAAATGACCTCCTTTATTGCATCTGAAACAGATGATGCAACTCCCGCTATGGTGATAATTGCACTTGCCACATTTAGGGTAAGTTTCCTTGCCCTTTTCTCTTGTTTGAGACTGAGCCCCAAAGTTTCTTATCACTTTTTGGTTCTTGCCTATATTGTTGTTGGCCCTTTTCCACGATTGCCCCTCTAGTTTCTTCTTTCCACCAAATTTGTCTTGCTTTAAAATCCCTGATCTAACTGCATCATTTGTCAAACGATTTGCCAAAACCACCGCGTTTTGTATAGTGGTTGGGTTTGCCGACGTGACCATCCCTCGGATTTCAGGTACCAATCCCCAGATGTACCGATCAATTCGTTTCTCCTCTGGAGTGACCATATGAGGTACTAACTTGGCAAGCTCATGAAAACGAGCAGTGTATTTGTCCACCTCCATTCCAATCATGGTGTGATTCCAGAATTCAACTTCCAACTTCTGAATTTCGCTCTTAGAACAATACTCTTCGATGAGTAACTTTTTGAGTTCTTCCCATGATAGTTCATAGGCAGCTTGGCGACCACGGGTTTGAACTTGAATGTTCCACCAAGTTAGGGTTCTACCCTGGAGTTGGCATGTTGCATACTCCACCTTACAGTCATCTGAGCACTTGCTAATATGGAGTACCGACTCCATGCTCTCAATCCATGATAGTAATCCAATTGCACCTTTTTTACCATGAAACTCCTTGGGCTTGCAGGACATGAATTTCTTGTAGCTGCATCCTCTATCATTGGTGTTACGGTTCTCCTCCCTAACGAGATTCTCGGTGCTAGGGCCTCCCTCACTCCTTTGACTTGCATTAATGCCCGCTGTAACCTGAGCGACAATAGTTGGTACTGCCTCCCGAATTTGCTGAGCTATCAACTGCGCTATATCAGGTGTTTGGCTTTCAGGATTCTCTCTCATGCTGCGTGCACTCCTTCTTGGGGGCATATTTCTATCGTACAAATTTTTAAATTGAAGTTTTGGATACTTTCATTATTTACCATTGTATTGCATTATGCACGATATGTTACAATCATCTAATCATGTAACCAAGGTAATATATATAATAACCTATAATTATAAAGGCATTTAATCAATAATCAACGAAATTTAACCATCCAAAGACAAAATTCCATAATATCAGCAAATAAAATAAAGACGTGCAACAAACGAGAGAAATTGCTCTTAAGTCACGGCTATATGCCCCAAAAGAAAATCTTAAGTTTGATCCATCAATAGCTTAATAAATAAAGTCTTCTAACGCATCAGACTCCAAATAAGTAACCCCATCACTATCGCCAGAACTCCTACTAACACCGCCAGATAGGTATGCAACCTCCTAATCGCTCTCCTAGCAAAGAAAATTAACTCCAATGAGCGATCAATCATATTATCTTGAGTGCCTAGGGCCGCAATCACTCCATCAGCAAAGTGTCGATAATGCTCCAACCTACTTTGACACATCTCTAGGTCTTGGGCGATGCCCAAAACCCATAAATTCTCCAAGGTAGTCATACCCGGAGGGCGCTCCGACGTGGTCCTGGTGGTAGGTGGGGGTGTTATACTACGAGTGCGTGATCGAGATGACTCCCTCACGGCTCCGGTAGGGGCGGAGAAAGACACCCTCACAGGCGGAGGAATGCACTTTCGGGCGGTGGCCCGAACTCTAACTCCGTGTGGCGCTATAGAATGCGAGGGTATAGAGCAAGGCGGTTCTGGAGTAGGTGATCGCGCCAATGATTCGGTAACATCCTTGTCACTATCATAACCATGCTTTGAAGGATCGTAATCTCCGGAGTTCGAAAACTCATTTTCTGATGACATAGTGCTGCGATATTTAATAAAAATTTTAAATTATTGAATGAATCATAATAAATGTCAAAAAGATGCAAAATTTATGCAAACTCACATATGCGAACCGTGCTTTTCTTATTGAGTAAGAAGTCCTTAACTTTTAGACAAACACCTAACATAACCGATCCACATCTCTCCTTATACATGCTTAATTAGACACAGGTGATCAGACTCTGTCTAATTAGAGTATGCTAAGAAGTCACTCGTTCTAGTTATATTAGTAGTATGTCCGTTTTGAATTTTTGAGACTCTTTTTAAGAAAATTATTTCGTAAAATTTTGGGTTATAGTGTATGGTTTTCTTAGAAAACCAGTGTTCTCTATAACCTATTGCTCTGATACCAAATCTGTCACATCCAAAGTGTTTTAAGTGTTTGGAGAACAAAACTCCATATTTTCATGTGATTTCACTTGCATGCAGAATATAACTCATATAGTTAACTCTCAAAGGAAGAATCATCCTTTTTCATCGAGTTTTGAAAGAGATATGGTCATTGGAACATACATATACAAATCTGTCAGATTCGNAGAGATATGGTCATTGGAACATACATATACAAATCTGTCAGATTCGGACAAATTGCATGCTCTCTTTGTTTTGAGTAGTTAAAACCTCAAATCACCACAATTTTGAATAAAATCAGTGGCATATGAAAGGTAACTCATTAAGTTAACTTCCAGAAGAAAAATCAATGATTTTGAATGATTATCTAGAGACTTATGGCTGTTTAAAGTAGGGTTTACCTACTGAAAAACTCTCAGATGCACATATATAATGTTTTGAGTATTTGGGGAGTCGAAACTCAATGATTTTGAGTGAGACCAATTGTATTACAACCCCAAATCAATAAATAAACTTTTAGAAGAAGATTCATAACTTTTGAACATATTATTTTCAAGATATAGACGATTTATGCACATGCACATAATCTGTCAGCATCTAAAAATGCCAATTTTAAGAATCAAACTCACATAAAATCATGATTCTACCTACCTTCTTGAGTTCTAATGTTTGGGTCATAGATTACCACCATCATATGAACAATGTTACATGTTTTTGGTGTGTAATCTCTCCTTAAAACTCAGAATTTTCGGAGGTTAGAATATAGTAGATAGAAATGCATAAAAAGTGGGTTTTTCTCCAAAAATTTTGCAAGAAAAAGAGGGAGATGAACATGTTACCTTGATTATTGATGTGAGGAATGTAATATCTTCAAATCCTTGCTAATAAGATGAAGAATTC